TCTGTGACTTTTCCTGATGGAAAAATAATCTTTCAGATAGGGCCAACTGACACATTTACTCACAACCCTTCATGATAGCTGAACAGCCAAGTTGCTAAGTTGGTGATCCAAACTGTGGAAAATAACAGCAAAATGTCTCTGTGACACGCTTTGTTCTAAACATACGAGATGTTCACAAGCCCGGCATCGACCAAATTGTTTGTTTTTACAGTGGTTTATTGGTTTGGGGGATGGCAGGGGGTCGTCGTATATTGAATGCTTTACTTCTGCCATCTATGAAATAATTTAGAGATTGGTTAAAGGTGTTCTGTTGGTCCATAAAAGTAATTCAGTTTAACTGAAAGTATGTTATGTTGATGGCAGCAAAAAGAGTTTCGAATTTCCAACAGGTTGATCAGCTTTGCAGGTATGCTCACATGTATCTGGGTGGGGGGGACAAGCAGAGTGGGCTAACTAGAAAGAAAAGAGTAAATTCTAACTTTCTAAATTCTACATTTTCCCAGTCTCCCAAAAAACATGTACTTTCTATTTTCATATACTACAAAGCTGTGTGTTTTTCAGTGTCTCAGAATTCCAAAACATAGAATTATAATAATGAATCAGAGCTACATTTTATCATGGTAGCTACCTGTACTGATCTACAGTGGTACCTCAGGTTAAGTACTTAATTCGTTCCGGAGGTCCGTTCTTAACCTGAAACTGTTCTTAACCTGAAGCACCACTTTAGCTAATGGGGCCTCCTGCTGCCGCTGCGCCACCGCTGCACGATTTCTGTTCTCATCCTGAAGCAAAGTTCTTAACCCGAGGTACTATTTCTGGGTTAGCGGAGTCTGTAACCTGAAGCGCATGTAACCTGAAGCGCATGTAACACGAGGTACCACTGTATTCGCTTAAGGTGCATGTGTTCAGGGCCGTTTATATACCATTTCACACAACTGTTGTCCCCAGCGGTACCTGGTATATAAACACATTGTTAGAAAACTGCTCCAATTAAATAGTTCAAGAAAGCATCCGGCTGTTTAAAAAATTATTCAGTGCCCTCTCGTTTTGTGGAACCAACAAAATAGCAGGGCACTGGATTGCCCTATTTCTTTCCATCACCCAGTCCTTAAGTAAAAGTGCTCCTGTTTGATTCACTCTCAGTTCACTGATTATTTCTGGCTTTTTGAAGGAAAGCCCTGCCCGGCTCTGGAGCCTTAACAGCTTCTGCCGCTGCCACCCTTGCGTGCGGTGCTGCTGTGTTGCCATGTCAACCGTGCATGTCATTTGTTTACATTTGATTTGGCAGAACACTTCATGATAAGAACCAAGGTCTCAAGTGACTTTGAACTGGGGAGGGGAAGGCAGAAAGAGGGAGAAAGAGAGGAGAGTGGTTGAGGTAGGAGACAGGAGCGATGGGAAAGTAGGGAAAGGATGTGCACCCCCTGATATTCAGCACCACATCCATCACCCCTTGCTTCTGTCAAGCCCGTTCCTTCAGAGGTGGTGCTGTGAAGGAAAGATGATAATCTATCATAGCTGAAATTGGAGCTGTGAGGCACTGACTGATTTTGAGAAACTAGTTAAACCAAAGTTATCTGGATTTTAGCCGATATTTGTCTGCAGTCATGCCGTATGTGCCATATGATTTTGCAGAAGACAGCCCATCCTCTGCTTGAAGGGTGGGTCAAAGGACATTTGAAGGTGTTGGTTATTTGAAGGGCTGTCCAGTCCAAGTCTGGTTGAAAGATAGATTTAGAAATAATTATCATAATTTTGAATGAAATCTCACCTTAGCGGGGTGGAAACCGACCAAGTAACCCATGCTGATTAAGCAGTCTATAAACTTTTTGTAAGTAAAAATAAAACAAGAGAGAGAGGATCATATTTCCCACTTGGCGTTCCATGGAAGAAATTAGCATCCTCATCACATGTAGTGTGAGGATTGTGTCTTCCTGGCTTCAGAACTTGAATGACAGTTGTAAATACCAACAAACTGAACACTGCTTCAGATAATAAAGCTGCCCCACCTTTCATGTTCAAGGTGGGTTCCCCCTTTTTGTAATTTTTCCCTTCTTATTGAAAAAAAAGATTCATTGATACACATTGACCTACATCAAAACTGAAAACAGCTCTAATGACTGGGTTGGTAATATGAGTTTTTGATTCACAAGCTCCAGCCAATTGGCACTACTCACAAACAGATTGGTCCCATTCAAGTACCACTGTGTACAAAATCTGCTTTACTGTTGTTGCTGCTGTTTAGTCGTGTCCGACTCTTCGTGACCCCATGGACCAGAGCACGCCAGGCACTCCTGTCTTCCACTGCCTCCCGCAGTTTGGTCAAACTCATGCTGGTAGCTTCGAGAACTCTGTCCAACCATCTCATCCTCTGTCATCCTCTTCTCCTTGTGCCCTCCATCTTTCCCAGCACCAGGGTCTTTTCCAGGGAGTCTTCTCTTCTCATGTGGTGGCCAAAGTATTGGAGCCTCAGCTTCAGGATCTGTCCTTCCAGTGAGCACTCAGGGCTGATTTCCTTAAGAATGGATACATTTGATCTTCTTGCAGTCCATGGGACTCTCAAGAGTCTCCTCCAGCACCATAATTCAAAAGCATCAATTCTTTGGCGATCAGCCTTCTTTATGGTCCAGCTCTCACTTCCATACATCACTACTGGGAAAACCATAGCTTTAACTATATGGACCTTTGTCGGCCAGGTGATGTCTCTGCTTTACTAGTTATTAATAAAAGAACACCTCAGAGCAGGTCTGTTTACCGAGCAGTGTAACTTGCCTCCAACACTCTCAAAGTGATAATGTCATCTCTTACCCTATGTGTGTGTGTGCGTGTGCATTATAATAATTCTTTCTTTTTATTTGCATGCCGCTTTTCCACAAAAGAAATTATGTTCAAAGTGGCTTACAACCAACAAACAAGATTGCATTTCAAACAAACGCTACAAAAGCAAATAGAATGCCACATTCCAACACTATAAATATAACAACATGCGGCATCTGGTAGCAAAAATAACAATGATAATCATTCCTGTAAGAAAGTGGTGGTGGTTCCAATGAGTATTGGCTAAAGAAAACATTAAGTTTGGGGCTAATGTTGGGTGCTACTTTTCTTCCCAGGGATGTTAAGAGAAGCATATTGATCATTTGGTCACATTAGAAGAAGTTTTAGCTCCAAAATAGGTTTTGAAAAATACTTCTGTGCAGAAAAGCAAATTGATTTGTCAAGCCTCAGTTATTAATTATTTCTTCATGTAACCCCCCCCCCAAACCCCTAACTGGAAACGATTGGTAAGGACCTCAGCTCTAAATATGCTTTTAATTATTTTAGAGTCCTTCCCTCCCATGTTTATGATCCCAGTGAGGCTAATAATTTCTACATTTCCTTTTTTCCATAATGTCATCTACCTGCTCACCATGTCACTTACACTATTCTCTCTCTCTCTTTCTATATATATCACTTGTTGCATGTAGTGCAAATATATCTAGCGTTCAAGATGAAATTAATAATCGTTTCATCAAAAAACAAAGTTTTCTGATAATTTCCTTTTCTTTTAAAGTCTTTCTAAACTGCCTAATATTCTAAAATCTCTAAGCTGTAAGCAAAAACACAACATATAAAACAGCGTCATAAAAACATCGAAACGACATCAAAACAAGTGAAACGCTATTATGAAAACAGATAAAAACCTTCTAAGAGTAGTTAACATTGGTAAAAAGCCAGATGGGTAATTTTGTTTATTGCCAAGGCCGGTTCTAACATTAGAACAAAAGAGGCAGCTGCCTCAGGCAGCTGATACTGAGTGTCATGGTGAAAGGGCAGCATATTGTTATCAAATTTTAGTGGTGTGGAGGATGAAGATGGAAAGTTCTTCTGTCTCAATTTCCAAAATAGCATGACTTTCCTTGAGTTCTATGCACCTTAGCCTTGGAAGCAGGGAATGCCATTTTCTGCTGCACTTCAGGCAGCAAAGTGTGGCCAATGGCCAGTCACGATGGAAAGGTGTAGTTCAGCCACATCTGGAGGGCGAAAAGTTACCTACACGTGTCTTAGGTGGATGTCTTTCATTGCTCTCTTGCTTGAGATCCTTTCACTGGCCAAGGCTTTAACCTGGGGACCTTGTGGAAGCAAAGGATGTTCTCCCGACACTGGTTCTGTTTACACATCACAATAAGCAAAGCAAAGTGCAACCTCTGGTATGGACATAATGCTAGGCTAGGACATGTTTCCTTCCAGGATGAGGGAAGAAGGGAGGAGACTCTTAGGCCTCTCTGCGGTAAACCAGCCTCCCCACAACATGGTGCCCTCCATCCAGTATGGCTATGCTGACTGAGGCTGACGGAAGCTGTACTCCAAAACATCTGGAGGGCACCAGGTTTGGGAAGACTGCAGGTATGGTTTACAGTGACCTGAGAACTGGGTCATTCTCTCACAAAGTCTGAAATGGTTGCATTTTGGAAGTGAAGCGCTGGTAATACAGAATTTGACGTTTGTGACCTCCTGGTTACAGTATGTGAAATAGTAAAATTTGAGGTTTATGTTTCAGAACATGCCAGGCCACCTGACCTGGGGCTCGGTCATCTGGTCTGTCCATTGACCCTGCTCTTAAGTTCCTTTCTTTGTAGTATAAACCTGTTTGCCTTTCCCCCCCTCTCTGTCAAATGTTGAAAAGTCTGGAATTGCCTCCCACTGAAAGCCTGAGGAGATCTGCCGTTCCTTTAAAAGAAGCCTTTTTATGCCAGTCTCATCTGTGACTGTTGAGCGAGGCAGAGCAGAGGCATCAGAAAAGGTTTTGAAAAGCGGAAACACCGGTAGCTTTCTTGCATGATTAATATCGTGCAGAGTGAATGGCTATGAGAAACAAATCCTGAATGCTGGGGAAATAAGTTCAGTATGATCACCACATGTGCCATTATTTCCCCCCACATTCCTATCTGGCTCTTTGGTCCAAAAGACAGTCGCCTGCAGCAGAGTATTTATTGGCTCTAGCAAACCTTCCGGGAAAGGGCTGTAGCTCAGTGGCGAAGCATCTGTCTTGCAGGCAGAAGGTCCCAGGTTCAACCCTGGAGAGCCGCTGTCAGTGCAGACAGTACTGAGTTAAATGGACCCAAGATCAGACTCAGTATGAGGCAGCTTCCTGTGTTCTTATCTGGGCCACTTTCCTGCAATCAAGAAACCCCAAAGTAAACGCATCTAGATGCTGTGAGAAGGCAGGGTGGGGAAGGATTCTTGGGAGAACGCAGCACACACAAATTTGTGGAAAATCCAATTTGCTGTTTGTTGCACTTTAGCTTTCAAGAGAGGGTTTTCGTGGGGAAAGCTCTGGGGTGGAAAAAAAAGAGTGCTCATAAATGGAGAGTTCAAGCGTCTGGAAAGCACGTGGCAAAAGTGTGGATAAGCCCCCCCTCCCCCCGTATCTCCAAGCCAGGAAAATATGAGGCACATTCTAGCCAGGCAAAAACACTTTAGGAGGATGCAAAGCTGGGCTAATGAAGGCTGTGGCTGGGGAGAGTCTTGAGGGCCTGGTAGAGAGGCCAGGAAGGCCAAATGCATCCTCTGGGTCTGAGCTTCCCCAAGAATGTGCATGGCTGCCAGAGTAAAGAAAAAAATTCATTGCTGTGATGCAAGAAGAAAATACATCACTGCATTGGGATCACTTCTCTAGGAACTAATGGACTAATTGTAATGGATTCATTGGTACAGTTAGGTAATTTTAGACCCTGAGCTTAATGGTCTTACAACCTATACCCACTTTAGATGATCATGTGTAGTTCTTCACTTCAGAATGTCACAAGTCACTTCAAAATGTGGGAAGTCTGCTGCCTTTGGAACCCCTCCTCCTCCTCATTTACGCCGAGTGTGGTCCTAGATGTTCTGCTCGGGATGTTTTGACGACTGATGACACCACTGGTGGTATTTTTGAAGCTAGGTAGTCATAAATGTGTTAACTTGGAAGCAAATTCCAGTGATTCAGTGGGATTTTCTTCTCAGTAAATGAGTTTAGGACTGAAGCCTAAATGTCAGGACTAATTTACAGTTTGGTAGGATTATACAATTGTATTTAGGGAATGAGGAAGTTAAGCTAAGAGCCTGTCATGGGAAGCTCAGTCCAACTATTGAGCGTGTGTGAGTTTGGAAACTAGACACAAAAGAGATATAGTACATGTTCAGCTTGTAATTGTTCCGGGAAAACAAGGGCCTATTATTGGATTAAGAACATGCCAAAAAAATAAAAAAGTCTCTGCCTATGTAAAGATTAGATGCCGTCAATCAGCAAGTTAACCAGCAATGTAAGAAAAGCAGTATCCAAATGCATTTCATAATACAGTACATGGAACTACTCAACCGAATATAAAACAGAGCTAATTGAGCCAAACAGTCTCCTCTCTGGGGCACTTCCACACAACAGTTTATTGTAGCTCATGCATGCAAGTTTTTCACAGCATCCTCATGCATGAAAGTTTTTCTTGATGCCATTCTCATCAAAATATGCCAACCCATACTTTGACCCATTTCATTTTCCCCATTGTACCATTTCTGCTTTGCTGGAAACCGAATCTGGATTAAATGGAAAAATAATACTGGATGGCATCTTAGGTTCCCCCTGCTGTTAATTCTGGGATATAGCCTGCCTTCTTACACATACAGAACATAAGAAGGGCACTGCTGGATCAGGCAAATGGCCCGTCTAATCCAGCATCCTTACAGTGGCCTATGGGAAACCCTTATGTAGGACCTGAGAGCAAGAGCTGCCTCTCTTCCAGTGGCTTCCAACAAGTGGTATTCAGAAGCATACAGGGTGACATTGTATGGACACTGCACAAAACTGGCATACGTGAGCAGCATTGAAAGTACAATAGGTGCCCATGTCCGCAGGTGTCCAGCGGAGGGTTTCAGCCTGATCTGCAGGCAACTGGTGGCCCACAAGCTCCCTTCTGGTGATTCTCAGAAAGACTGTGTAACAACTGAGAATATTTGCAGCTCACCCTGCACTTCACTTCTATTTTTATTTTTACTGACGATTGAGATGGATTCCATTTTGACCAGGGCCACATACGTATATGCAAGGCAGGATTCCATCACTTGCCACTCTGCTGGACCTGACCTGCGGCTAAAGCTGAAAAACATAACACCTGACTTTGCAGGACTCTGCTCACAAACACAAGCATACCCATCACATTGGAAAGGCAGGACTGTGGTTATTGAAATATAAGTTATGTATGTGTTTTGCTTTGGAGTACAATGGTGAAAATTTTATTAAGTGCTCGGCTGACACGCCCATCACTTTTCAAGTGGTATGTAGAAATAAACGTTTAAGTACTTTTAACTACTTTTAGGAGGAGATCAGAGTTGGGGTAGGGAAGATGAAAGTCATTTTTAAGGTAATTTCCAGCAGCTAAAAATCAAAATGACTTCTTGCTGTTAAATTTCATTGTTATTGTATTGATCCAGCCAGTCAAACATTTTATTTAGATGCAGGTCTCGGTGTTTCTCATCTCTCAGTCTGACTGGATAGAGAACTGGGAAGACCGGAAGTGAAATGGCATGGGGGGGGGGTTTACTCTGGATGCACACCACAGCTACATAATGGACAGGCTGTGGCCACGTTGAAGAGCGGGCCCAGATCGCTGTCACAGCATTGGGAAGAAAACAAAGAAACTGAGAGAGAAAGGACTTTAGGAGGACAGAGGGGGAAGCGGAGAAACTAAGAAGGAATCGGAGAGAAGTAAATGCAGATACAGTCAGACAGACAGTAGAGAAAACCAATTCTAGGTTTAAGTGCAGTGACAAAAAGAAAGACAAAACATTTCCAAAGAGAAATTGTTGCAAATGGTCTACAGTGGACGCTTCGGTTGTGAACGTGATCTGTGCGGGAGGCACGTTCGCAACCGGCAGCACCGCATCTGCGCATGCGCAGGCCGTGATCTGGTGCTTCTGCGCATGCGCCGAAACCCAAAAGTAACCCGTTCCGGTACTTCCGGGTTCGGTGCGGTGCGCAACCCGAAAACGCGCAACCTGAAGCATCTGTAACCCAAGGTATGACTGTATTGTGTTTAATGCTGCTAAACTCTTGAGTATGACTGGCATTGGGTGAAGCCCCATTATCTGTAACAATTGTCATTATTAGTTTTGATTTCTTTTAAAGGAATAAATGAAATTAATTGAAGGAGAAGAATTGTGGGGTGGGAACCACTACACTACTATAGAAAAAAAGGGGTGTAGGGAGGAAACCCAATGACAACTACTGAAGCTTTATGCACATGCAGCATCTGTCAGCGTGGACTATTTTTGCCTGGAAGAACACTTACATATCCAAAACGCCAAGTGAGAAAGAGCCTCCCTAAGGTGTGCCAGCCTGGGAAGCAATCAAAATTCAGATCCTTCCTCATATTCTTGTATTGTCCCAGCCTGTACATCTGTTTGGTGTTACAGGCAGAACCGGGTAGTGGCATATGCTAATCAAGCTAATGTTATTTTCATATTACTTTGTAGTCAGCTATCTGGGGGCTTATCTAATATATTTCAGACACGAGGACAGGTTGAGATTGGGAGGGATGATAGATAGATCCCTGGACAGTGTATTAACTGAACAGCATGAAGTAGGCAGGCAGAAATGATGGTGTTGGAGGGAGAGAGAGGAGAGGCCAGGGAACCTTGCCGCGAGAGGCTCGCCATCTTGCATGTAGTTAGCCATTAGTGACAGTAATCTGATTACAAGACCCCAGGAGCTGGAATGGTAAATGGCTACTGCAGAGGGAGCTTATTATCATGACCTCTGGAAAAAAGATTGCTTTTGCTCTTAAAGATAAAACCGGAGCCGCTCCTGCATTCGGCCCGAGAAATGTAATGCCGATCTCTACGTGCAGTTGCAAAGTGCTGTCAAGTGTGGGCTACCTGGCGGACACGAGCGCATTGCTACCACGGCTGCTTGATATCCCATTAAACCCGATGAAAGGACAACAGGTTACTTCATTAAATTCAGCTTATAATGACTCTGTTTACTGAGGAGTGCAAAAATGGACATTTAATAAATCAACTTGCAAAGAAGGCCGTCTCTTTCTCCCAGGGACAAAATAACAAGATGTCAGGGGTGCATAATTTTGTTTATTATTATTTGATTCCGTTTATGCATCGTTTCCCATAACCTATCTGAAATATTTCACAGTAAAAACAGCAATAAAAGCAAGTCCATATGTAAAAACAATTAAAAGCCGTTTCACGTGTAAAAGCAGATTTCAGTTCCAAGGAGTTACAGACTGGGATAAAGACCTGTACTTGTTGAAAGAGGTCTTCAGTAGGTGCCAAAAAACCAATACAGTACAGTGGTACCTCAGGTTAAGTACTTAATTCGTTCTGGAGATCCATACTTAACCTGAAACTGTTCTTAACCTGAAGCACCACTTTAGCTAATGGGGCCACCTGCTGTTTCCGCACCGCCGCGGCACGATTTCTGTTCTCATCCTGAAGCAAAGCTCTTAACCTGAAGCGCTGTTTCTGGGTTAGCAGAGTCTGTAACCTGAAGCGTATGTAACCTGAAGCGTATGTAACCCGAGGTACCACTGTATAGATGTCGCCTGTCTGTTTTCTAATGCCTTCTTTAAAAACTGAGATGGGGAAGTAAGATAGGAATGTGATTGGAGCAGTTCTGAGAGAGGAGATGCTTCACCCTTTCCCCTCAGGTCTTCTTCCCATACCCCATGGATTAAATCAAACTCTCCCCAGTTGATTTCCTTTCCAGGACAAAAGTTACAAGGGAAAGGGGTTAAGCAGCCACTCTCTTTTTCTGCTATTACTTGATGAGATCCACATACATTGATGAGATTCTTTCTCACATGCAGACCCCTGCGGCTGCGTGTCAGTGAAAAGAATAAGCCATTAGGAGATTGATCCTGCATTTTCTGGCATGGCATCAAGTCTGGCCCTCAGCTTTAATAGGTTCACTTCTTTGTTTTCATTTCCACCTGACTAGATAATAAAACCACCAATTGAAAACACCTCTCCCCCCCAGTGCTGTGTAAATGAATGCTCCCTGCAGTTATTGCACACCTTTGCATAGATGCGTTGAACCACACT